CTGGCCTGTTCACGCTAGACACCGCGTCCCCCAAGGTGGCTGCATCTACCCAGTTCACCGCGGCTTGCTTGTGTCGGTCGCTAACTCACCCGTCGCTTCTGTGGCACCGCCGCCTAGGTCACCCCGCTCTCTCACGTCTGCATCACATGTCCCTGCACAGTCTTGTCTTAGGTCTCTCTGCGTCGCTCCCTACCCTCCCTCCATCGCCCGCGCTTCCGTGCACGCCTTGCGTCGAGCGCCGGCTGCACCGTGCTCCTCACTCCTCCTCATTTCCCCCCACCATTGCGCCACTCCAGACCCTGCACCTGGACGTCTGGGGCCCAGCCCCCGTCCCTGGGCCGCGTCGAGAACGCTACTTTCTAGTGCTTGTCGGCGACTAAACGCGCTACACCACGGTGTTTCCCCTGGAGCGGAAGGCCGACGTGCCTGGCGTTCTTAACCTGTGGGTAATAGCTGCGCAAGTCCACCGCGGCCTCCCCATGCTGTGTCTCCACTCTGACCGTGGTGGCGATTTGGCCTCCGGTCGGCTTAGCCAGTTCTATCGTGCAGAGGGCATCACCCAAACGTACACCCTGCCAGACTCCCCGCAGCGAATGGGGTCGCTGAGTGATGCATCGGTTTGGTTATGGAGGTGGCTTGTACCTCCATGACGCATGCCCGTGCACCCCATTTTCTGTGGCCATTCGCTGTTCGCTACGCCGCTCACCAGTTTAACTTGTGGCCGCACTCCCAGCGGCCGCAGGTTTCGCCAACCCTCCTTTGGACCGGGTCCCCTGGTGCCCGTGGAGTTGCCGCTCGTGCATCTTGTACATGTGGGTGCCCAGGTTCTCCTCCTTGTCGACGTCGCGCACCTTCACACGCTTCGACCCCCCCCGCCCGTACACCGTGAGGAACGCAGAGAGCCAAGTGTTTTCGGCGCCGGCACCGAGAAACCTCCCCTCACTCAACAGAACGGTACCTCAGATCCCCTAGCGTCTCATCGATGTCCGTTGACACCTCCGTCACGTCGACCTACGGGTTTGAGTGGGGGACACATTGTAGGTGACATTAATACTAGTAGCAGATGAGAACACCACCATCACAGCATTGAGCAGCTCACCTCATGCTTCTAGAACTTGAGGTTGAGGCCGTTCATGACTGCCAGCATGTCGGCCAGGTAGAAGAGGCAAAGCTGAAACTTATACGAGATCACAACTTCATACACAGGATGCTCATACTCAGACAACCGCACAATCGCAGCACCCAACACCGTACACAGGCGTCGGATGGCCTCGCCCCTAGACAGCCATCGAACTTGATGGATGCCTTAGATCTCCAAGTTCGTGCTGTGAATCGCACGCTGGAGATACTTGAAACGTCCGCTCCAGACACTCGACCGGCCGAGAAGGTCCGCAAGGGTGTGAGTAACCTTAGGGACCATGTCGAGGTCTGGACAGGAGGTGGCAGCATCCTTCACAGCTAGGGCTTCCCTGCAGGTATACACAAGGACATTGATTAGCACACGGACACAAAACCAGATGACGAATCTGTGCTGATTAGTATCACAAACCTGTGGGCGATGCAGTGGGAGGAAACGAGGTGCGGGATGATGTCTCGCAGGCGCGTGACAAGGCCATTGTCACGACCGATCTGTCAGAAAAGGTGAACTTAGAAAAGTTGAATAGAGGGAAAGCACAAGCGTTTACATAGGAATGTGAGGAAAGGGAGGAAGGGAGGGTTGGTTGGGAGTTGGTCAAGATTATTGGACCCTACCAATAATCCTGGTTGGGATTATTGGTGGTCCAATAATTCCGGTGGGAATTATTGGGGGTCCCAAATAGTTGTGGACCCAACCAAATTGGGAACCCAACCTCCAATTAGGGTTATAAAACCCTAATTGTAGTGTTGTGCTTAACTCTACTAAAAACTCACAAATCCATGTAGATAAGTAAATATAGTAGGATATTCTAATACGATCATCATTGACGCTCCGCCACTGTTGATGCCGACGATGCGTCGATGCCGAACGACTCTAGGTGCAGTAGAAGACTGGACATCAGAGAAGCTGCATCGCACTTGCCAACGGTGAGCAGGGCGAGGAATTTGGTGATGACGCGACGCAGCCGCATGAAGGTCATATAGACGATCAGGTGCTTCTATCACAGGTCCAAGATTCAGCACAAGCTTGAATGATACAAATCATCAATAGAATGTGTACAAGCAAAGAGTCAATACTATTTATACCTACGAGAATTCTAGAGAAGGGTAACTAGGAGAGTTATAGAAATGAGTGGAACCGTCCGTAGGAACATCACCTAGGAGCACGGTAAGGATTCTAGAGATGCGGTGACGGTGACGGAACACTCCACGCAATAGAAAACGTGTCACGCAAGGAACGTCCGAAACACTCCGTAACACAATTGATATATATGTGAAATATATCAATGTGTAGGGAAAAGTGTAGGGATTTCCAAAAATGGAAAAACACACAAAATAACACACAAGTAAATAGCAAATATGCAAATGGATGTGCTCAAGGATTCGGCAAGCCTCATCCTCTCACAGCTTCCCTCGCGTGCAGGTGGTGCTCTCGTCGCATGAGATGCCGAGATAGGGTGAGCTCTTGATGTGCTCCATCTGAGGGCATAGTTAGACCGCGTGTCAGGCGGTTGGTACAGGTTTGTCAAGCTGACCCGTGGGACAGGTCGACTTAACGGCCACTGCGCAACCATTGACGCCAGGACCTCTGAAAGTGTCGCCAGGAGGCACTAGCGAGGTCGTGCGCAAAACATGCGACTGCTACTCTGCATGACCAGATTTATTGACAATTAGCTAGTCGCAAATACTATAAATGTCGTGGGGCATGCTAATTGGATCGCTTTGTTTCGCGGCTTTTGGACTGTCAATTTATGCGACGTTGAAGTTGACTGGTAGACGCGAGTTTACCCGGTTTTAGAAAGCGGGAAATGTTGGCGCCAGCTACAAACTCACCTGACACCCGGGCAGTATCTGCTTCCATGGTACAGGTGGGCTGTACCACCTGCTTGACACGCAGTCTAGCTTTGCCCTGAGTTGCCCGCAGATGTGTTGACAGACAATTGACCATCTACTGGAAACCGTACCTGCAGAGGCATGATGTCATACAGACACTCGTTAGTATACGCATCCTTGGCAAACAACAGAGTTCGACAAAAGTTTAGCAATAAAAAAATAACCTCACCTGGTCAGATACACTCCATACGACTGGAGAGGAATGTCTGGCGTGTCTTGCTCTACCATGAAACGGAGCAGCCGCGGAAACATGGCGATGGGAGCATCGCTCTTGCAAATATATTCGACGCACCGCAAGAGACGGATGACGCGACTACCCTCGACATCTTTGGTGGGGAAGCTCGTTATCTTATGCTGCTTGTCGTCGATGTCTTGCTGTATCTCCAACTGTCAGCGAACCGCCTCTTCATGGACCGTAGAGTGTTCGTGAATGCACATCGTCTGGGTCTGGAGATCTCGCCTGCCGTCGCCTGGGCTCGAGTACTTTGTTGTCTCCTTGCCGAAAGCTCGGCAAACACACCACTTACGGCGGGGTAGCCATCCTTGGTACGGGTAAGTATCAGCCACAGGAAGTAACGAAGCCAATCATTCTTGTAGTTAGCTTCAGCGATCTGGTACTTCTGCTCGATTAACTCCTTTGTACTTAGCTTCGGTGGCGGTGGTTCATCAGGGCGGGAGGTGAGTGCGGTGGTGAAGGGGGTCGAATCTGGCCACCAAGGTTGATACACTGCTGTGTGTACTTCGTTGTGCGCTGTTTCTTCGCCAAAGTCACAGTAGACGTGCACGGAACGGTTGACGCAATGGCGCAGTCGACACGCTCTACAGACCCTCTACTAGAAGATGCTATGGCTGGTGGGAGAACGTAGAGAGCGAAGGCAAGACTACATGGCAACGGTGGCTCGTCGCGTGGTGGTTCGTCGTCTGCGGTTGGGCCGACCGACGGGGGAGGAACAGATGCGGCGACGGGCCGCAAGAAATCTAAGCCTCTCCTACGCGCTACGGCAGGCTCCTTCCGACTGTGCGGCTCATCACCGTCAGCAGGAGCGTCGTCGGCGCCACCCATCTCAGGCATGGTGAGAGGTGAAACAACGGGGGGGAAATAAACGATGCGACTAAAGCTACGCATGTGAGACAAAGAATGAGGATATCAAAGGCCTCCTCCTATAAAACATGAAGCAGTGCGTTTCAGACAGATGAGTAAGGAACGACAGGAGAAGAAGGGAGACATCAAACCTGTGCCGCACCTTTCTTGAAAGGCGTGACGCGGTTTTCGGGCCTGTCCTTACAGAACCCAACACCATGCAGCCTTCGGGTAGATGCCCAACCTGCAAGACTGGCAGATAGGGCTGGGACCCGAATTCACGCATGCACAGAGAGCGTCAGAACAGAATCTGCAGTCCTTAGAGGTTTGGCGTGGCAGCATTTTGCCGCACTGCGTGGCAAAGTGCCTACTGTGGGCAGAGTACACGTTGGACTTTGCGGGATTTCGTGCCGAGTGTGGATTCTGCATGTGACGCGGGCGGGCATGGTGGCGAAATTTCGGGGGAACCTGCGGACCTCATGGAAGTCGGTTTCAGGGTCCGTACGCACTGCTGTACTCTGGAAATTCAGGTTTTCACAATACACCGGTCTGAGAATTCAGACTAATCAGAGTAAATAGTCTGATAAAGTCAGCCCTGGTTCACAGTAGATGTTAACCCTAAAGCTGTTTTGGTGTGTTAACCGTAACACACTGCTCATATGATGAGTTTCACGTGCCATACTGTGCGTGTTGTAGGACACATAGACTTGGACAGGACATTATGATGGCCATGATGTCATTTTGAACTTTACTGTGTGTAGGGTGCTTTTCCCTATCGTTTTGATATACACTGACCATACTAGTTAGTGCGCATGGGAGATGGAGCATGACAGCAATCATGCTTAACACCCAACCACCGCCCCACTGCCATCCTCAGCACCCCCAACACCATGCAAGTGACATGACACTTCCATGCCATGCTGCCGTCATGGCTCTTCTTTCACTGTCTGCCTCCCACTCCCTCCGCCTTGCCCCGTGCTGCCGCCCCGGTTGTGTGCGTGTGCGCTGGGTGCGCCCGCCGCTCTGTGCTGCACCAGCTCGCGCCACATCTTGCGTGCAGCACGGGAAGACGGCTTTCGCATGCTGCGCGGGGGACTCACGTCCATCTTCCCCCCCCCTCTCACTGCACGCCCACCTATCGTGGCGCCCACCGCATGCTGCTGCCCGCCTTCTTGCCCACCGCTCTCCCTCTCCGTGCCACGCTGCTCTGCTGCCCTCTGCACCATGCCTCCAGCGCCGCCCTGCCCCTCCCTCGTGCCCTCGCCTCTGCTTTCGTGCCTCTCGTCCTCTGCCATAGGCGCCTCCCCTGCACCGTGCTCTCCCTGCCATCTCAGCCGCTCCAGGCCTCCTCTCACGTCCCTCCCTCCCGCATCCCCTTCCCTCGTCCCACAACCCCCACTTGCAATCACCTCCACATTCGCCACCTGCGTTTGTGCATCTGGTTCTGCCTTTCTCTTCGTTCCGCGGATCTCCTCTGCTCCCGGCTCGCCCCCTGTCCCGCCACTCAACCCTCGCCATACTCGCCGCGTCTCTCCACGTGCTCCACGCGCGTCCATTCCGCCCGGCCCCTCGTGCCCCTCGTCACCGTGCACCCCAACCCCCCGAAAGATCCCATCTGCTGCCTCCTGCCGCTGCCGCCACACCTTGGCGACGGCAGCGCGAGCGGCGGCGGAGCGTGGTCGGTGCAGCATGGGGGGGAAGGAGGGCACACCCCAGAGCGGGGCTGCTGCCGGCGGGGCGAGAGCATCGGGGAGCGCTGCGGGCAGTGTGTGGCGTGTGGGTTCGCCTGCCATTCGGTGCTGCGCGGCGATGGTGGCGAGGCGGAACGAGGCACGTGGCGGAGAGGAGAGCGCGAAGGGCGCGGGCTCCTGGTTCTCGCCCGTGCCCTCTGCCGCCACGCCATGCTGCGGCGCGCGCAGACGAGACGACACCGTGAATCCGCCGTCGTCCTCCCTGACTTGCACGCTACGCCTCTCGGTGTGCGCCTCGCCCTCGTTATCGTCATCGTAATCGTCATCGTAACCGTCATCCTCATCCTCATCGTCGTCGTCATCCTCGTCGTCATCATCATCGTCATCGTCATCATCATCTTCATCTTCCTCTTCATCGTCATCGTCATCTTCATCGTCATCGCAATCGTCATCGTCATTGTCACCGTCATCGTCATCATCGTCGTAAAAAACGTCGTCTTGGCATTTGCCCTCGTCCCCCTCATCCCCATCGTCGTCGTCACAAGCAGCGCGCTGTTCATCCCCGGCCCTTTCCAATCCCCGCATCCCGCCCTCCTCATACGGGCCTTTTTCCGCTCCCCCCTTCTCGTCTTGCCTTTCCTTCTCCTCGCCCTCTCTACTCTCCTCCCCCTCGTCACCTCCACTGCGCGTGTGCGCATGACCAGCGTTCCGCGCCTCATTCGACCTCCAATCGCTCTCCTCCGCATCACCTTCTCGTCGTGTCGACCATCTACTCGTCACCCGCTCGTCTACTCTCTTTGACCTGTCCATTCTAATGCACACCTGCACACCATGCGACTATATACAGATCCTTGACTTGCTAACGGATTTGATATATTGACTAAGCAGCCGGCACCTGAAAAAAAGCTCTCTTATTGCGACGGATACCCGAGAACAGCGGCGTTTGTTCGTCAATGGCACTAGACGATGGGAAAGAGGGAGAGAGGCTGAGATGGGCGCATGATCTCCGTCACTGGGAGCGGGGGAAAGGGGGAGTCCGGAAATTCACTCAGCCATTTGAGTTCATGAGCTGAATTTTAGCGGCTTGAGGAATGCAAGGAGCTTCCATGGGAGACTGTGCTGAGGTTTGGGATTGCGAGGTGAGAGACAAGGGAGCACGAGGGGCGTTTGGCTTGCATCACGCCAGCCAATCACTACTGTAGGATCTCGCACAACGTCGCATTTGACAACACAATTATCGGATCGCGTTCGCATGGCACAGTGACGTCCGGCTCGAAACGCAGCTATCACCCCCAACAAAATTATCTCAACGTGTTACAATTTGATAAAATGAACACCTGAAGCCAAACCCAAATATAGGACTGTTTATAAACCGCTCTGTAGTGCGAACTTAAATTCGGGCTTGAAAATGCAATTAAAACATTCACCAATACAAATCGCTTGAAGCATGTTTCCTTGTCTAGTGCAGCGTCGGTTATTAATCTAACCAACTAACCACGCCCGCATGCAATGAGCTTGCATCTGCAGCTTGCTCTCAGGACAGGACATTGTTTGCAGCAAGCCGATCACTCATGCCTGTGCTGAGGGTGGCCTGCATTGAGAAGGTGCAAGCATGCTGGCATGACTAGTGAAATGCGCAGAGTCAGCTGTCTCCCCCACATCATCTGCATTGCGCTGCCACGACCAGTCCGCCTCCCCTGTGTTGCTGCCTCCCAGGACCTGCAGGCGGCCATGGCCAAAGGAGGCCTCCCTAAATGCTGACCATGCCGGCCTGCTGTAGTAGCTGCATGGACGGGGGAGAGAATGGAGAGAGGGGGGAGGAGAGAGAGGAAAAACATGGAAGTGTATGAAGCACAGCCTGAGGGATCAGGACCCAAACGAAGAAACGCGGGAGCTCGAACAGATGGGGAAGGCAATGCAACAACACAAACAGTGAAATCATAACGGAGGTAAGCCAACACGAGCAAGATGCGGACAGAGACTGAAGGCATAGGTGGCCGGGACACGAAGACACCGCACCTGGTGTAGAGGCCTTCTCTGTTGCCACCATCACCTATGGTGACGTGGATCATGCCACAGGGGTGTGCGCGCCCGTTGTACATGCGCTTCTGCCAATGGGAGGTGCAACAGCCGCAACGGCGGAGGAGCAGCGGGAGAGAGGGAATGCACAAGGTGTTGAGAAGACAGAAAGGCAATCAAGAAGCAGCAAAGCAGTGCGCATATGGGAGAGGGCGCATACGGATCGCTCATAGGCATGCACGTGGCCAGAGAAGAGGATGTCGGTGCGCGCCGCGAAGAGCAGCCCCTCCAGCGCCAGGCGCATGTGCCGCCCGTCATTCTGGTGTCGCGTGTTGGAGCTGTACCACGGCTCATGCACCACCGCCACCAGCCATGGCGTGCGCGTCCTGTTCACACCACTCAAGTCCCGCTGCAAGGTGGATCCGAGAAAGGGGAAGAGGGGGGGGAAGGGAGGGAGTGAGCTGGTGACGGTGGAGGTGAGAGCTGCCAAGGAGCTCCGCCTTGGGGTTTACAGACAGACACGAGCAATCATGGGAAATGGGATAGGGAGAGCACTGTTGCATTCAGCATGGCAGGGGGTGGCATGGGCGTGGGAGGCACCTTGAGCCAGGTGTATTGCCTGGAGCCGGGGAGGAAGGGCGAGTAGGAGGAGAGCATGAGCCAGTGGATGCCAGCGGAGTCGAAGGAGTAGAAGAGGTTGGACGGCGACCCGCTGGCAGCGGCGGGCATGGGCCAGCGCGCACTGTAGGCGAGGAAAGGGGGCATGAAGCGCGTGAGCGACTCCTTGTCGTGGTTGCCCGGCACCACCATCCAGGGGCGCGTGCTGGCATAGGGGTCGATGAGCGCGCTCCAGCTGTCCCAGCGCCACGGGTTGAAGTCCGCGTACGACAGGTCCCCTGGCACCACCACCATGTCGTGCGGCTGCTCGCCCAGGTGCTTCAGCGTCTTCACTGTCCACCCACTCTGACCCAGGTCGCCTGGTGGCCGTGCCACGTGGCGCAGAGGCGGAGTCATGGAATTACATGGAGGAGCATAGGAGCGGGAAACGGAAGAAGGGAATGTTAAAGCATGATGGGATGGAGGAAAAGAGAGAGAAGGAAAGAAAGAGTGACAGAATGTAGTCAAGGATATTGATGTCAGAGGATCCGCCCGTAAGAACGTAAGGCGTGCCCCATGGGCAGCAGCAGTGCAGCGAGGTGTGTTCACACACCTACGAGCGCCACGGTGATGGTGGCATCAGCAGCAGCGGGCGGCGTTTTGAAGGAGCGGCGGCGGCCCTTGCGGCCCATGCGGTAGTAGTACACGGTGTCCCCGCGCAGAGGCTGCTGCGCCGACCCCACCACCACGCTGTGGATGAACCCTGACCTGCGCGCACGGAGAGGGGGGGGACGGGGGGCGTTGCTGCGAGGGAGCGAGGTGGCGCAGGGTTGAATGGCGGCACGCGGTGGAGTGCACGGGTGGAGCAGCACCTGTAGAAAAGGAAGCGGTAGGTGGAGGAGGTGCCTCGCGACAAGTGGTTGAGCGCGTTGGGGTGCAGCCCCCACGTGACGAGCGACAGGCACCGCGGCTGCGTGGTGATCCACGTGATGCGCATGGCCACTGCCCCCCCTGACACACTTGCCAGCGACACGTGCACCTGCCAAACACGCACACCACACACACACACACGCAGCCGAGGAAGCAGGTGTTAGGAGACGTGACGAGTGGCTTCCGCGTGCTTGGACGACGCGCGCAGCACCCACCCTCATGCGTCGCCATCCCTCACACTCTTCGCCCTCCACATGCGACCTCGTCGCTTCTCTCGCACCTCTCCCCTTTCCTCCCTCTCTTACTTCGCTCTCTCCCCTCACCTCGCGCTCTTCCCTCTCTAACCTCTTGTTGGAAAGCACAGCCGTTACCACTGTGGTAAAAGGGCGTGGTCGACGCACTCACAACCCCCCAGACGACCGTGTAGCCCTTGTCCATGGATCACAGCAGCGATCTCAGGGCTGCTGTTCCAACACTCTTCCCTCTCTACCCTCTCTCTCCGCTCTACCCCCTCTCCCCTCTCTGACCTGCACGCGCCACGGGGCAGCGGGCGGACCTGTTGGGGGATGGGCGAGCGTTTGAGCCACTTGACGATGGTGGGGCCCAGCGGAATGCGCGGGCGCGCGTTGGGGCGCACGTACATCTGCACCACCTGCTTCACCACCTGCCCCGCCTCGCCCACCGCGCCCGCTATCCTCTCCGCCGCCTGTTCCACCCTCTCCACTGGCCCGCCCCGCCCGCTGCTAGACGCACGCCCATTGCCGCCGCCACCGCTGAGCGACGCTGTACTGTTGAGCGACGCTGTACCGTTGAGCGACGCTGTACCGTTGAGCGACGCTGTACTGTTGAGCGGCGCTGTGCTGTTGAGCGACGCTGCACCGTTGAGCGACGCTGTACTGTTGAGCGACGCTGTACTGTTGAGCGGCGCTGTGGTGTTGAGCGACGCTGTACTGTTGAGCGACACTGTGCTGTTGAGCGACGCTGTGCTGTTGAGCGACGCTGTACTGTTGAGCGACGCTGTACTGTTGAGCGACGCTGCACCGTTGAGCGACGCTGTGCTGTTGAGCGACGCAGTACTGTTGAGCGACGCTGCACCGTTGAGCGACGCTGTGCTGTTGAGCGACGCTGTGCTGTTGAGCGGCGCTGTGCTGTTGAGCGACGCTGTGCCACTGGGAGAGACTGCATAGCTGAGCGGTAACGAATGGCTGGCAGGCGAAGAGCTATGGAGAGCGGCGGCGGCGACGGCGGTTGGTCGCAAGGGCTGTAAGAGGGCACGGTGAGAGGCGGACGCGGGGAAGCACGTGGAGGCGGAGGGGATCGCGGCGGCGCACGCGGCAGCAGCGAGGAGTGGGTGATGAGAGGGTGCGAGCAGCAGAAGCAGAACCAGGTCGAGCGCAACGAGGCGCACACGCGATGTGAATCCACGACGCCCCGTTGCAGCGCCGTCAGCCTGTGCCATGACCCCTACACAATCGCTACGAACGAGATTCGGAGCAGCCACAGCACGATCAGCTAGCCGCTCCACTCTGTGCTCGTGTGGAGGAATCATGGCCGGCCGTGGGTTCTAGTGGAGACTGGAGTAGCGTGGGTCGGACATCATCAGGCGCAGTGGATGAGCCTCTTTGTGTCCCAGTTGTGCCCCTGCATCGGTTGCAGTGCTCAACCGACCACATACAATCCCTGCATCATTGTTTCGCGGCTTGCTGTCCTACCTGCAACAACCTGATCTGAAATACTCTGCGTTACCCCCACCTGTTCCCCCACCTGTTTTGGAACTTGTACGTGTTTTTGGGAAATTGATTCTCTATTTTCGGGGAAAGCTTGTAAGGCTACCCTGTTTCGGAATCTGGCAACAAGGTGTGGGACCTGCTTGGGAATTACGGAAAGGAGCCAGGAGTGAAACGGTGACTGGGAGGAGTGGAGGGAGTGGGAGACGATTTGTCGAGTACGGGGGTTGCGAGACTGGCGGCGGGAGCTCTATTCACCGTTACCAAGACACCCTAGGGCGGAACGGCCCTCATGTATGCACATCGTATCTCGAGAAAGGTGCATTCCAGTTCACCTGGGAATTCTCTGAGATGGGGTGAATTTGAGGGAATTCTCCCAAGTTCCAACAAGACAGCTGTACAATGCCTACACTCACCAAAGCCAGTACAGTAACCTGTCAGAGGGCCCATGTCAGAGATCCACTTAGGGGGGATGCTGGTCAGACCGAGGCAGACCTGCGGTCGAAGTAGCCGCGGGTTTTACAAATCCAACTGCGGGTCTTGTAATTTTGACGGTCGCGCGCCTACAAAGGTAGGCACAGTCGCAAAAGCGAGTTACACCTCCACCAAACCCCACAGTATCGCAAAAGCGAATTGCGACTGCCACATTGGCGGGCGACGTTCGGTTCCAACTTCCATCGTTCTTTCCATTTGTGCGCCAGTTTACATTGACGGCTAACCGTGCAGACCCCATCAAACAGCCGTCAGGAAGGCAACTTTTTCCACCAGGGGTTCTCCTGCAAGACCCTCGGTCGGGTCAGACTAAGCCTCCAGAAATGAGCTTCAGCAGAACTGGGCCCAACCATTCGCGAAACTTAACTCCCCTACCAAGGCTCTCCCACCCCACCTTTTACCACCATATCCGGCCGGACTAGTTTAGATAGGATAATTGATGCATGGTAGGAATCTCAAATTTGACCTGAGGTAGGTAAGAGCGATAAGGAACAAACAAATCGGGAGCCAAAAAAAACAAATCATTAAGATGCTGAACCATGGCATTCAAGTGCACGAGAACTGCTATCTAGAAAGAGTAAGCTTGGAGATGGCAGTGGCAGCCTGGTCCACGCCTAAAAGCAGGTATGGGTGGCGCAGGGCTTCCGCAGCAGAGAGCCTTCCTTTGCGCAGTGTTCCCCTCTCGCACACGAGGCGCGTGGCGAGATCCCAGCCCGCCCCGCCCTCCAGGTCCAGCACACGCAGGTCCGGGCGCATGCGCGTCTCCCTGCGCCACCGCTTCAGGTCGTAGCGCGCCGCCCTCAGCTCCTTCTTGAACGTCTGCAGGCCGGCTGGCGTGCGCAGCGTGGGGGATGCCATTTGCAGGAAGATGATGCCCACACTGTATGTGTCAAACAGGTCAGGGTGGTTGAACTGGTGGACGGGCACAGACATGGGGCAGGCAGAGACATGGGGCAGGCAGAAAGCAGGGCAGAGACAGGTGAGGGTTGAAGAAACCGATGGTGGAAGGGAGAATGATAGGGAGGAGCAGGAGTTGAGTCGTCACGCATACCTGCCAGAGTGCCGGGGAGAGCATGGCAGCGATGGGAGCAGCAGGTGGGCTGGGCGTTTCCTCAGGCAGCACAAATTGTTCTGGCGGGGCATAGTCCGGGTCAAGCAGAGCGAGCTCTGGCTCGTAGTTCATGCCAATGCGCAGGTCAGCAGCAGCACCGAAGTCAATGAGCTTGACACGGCCAGTGTTGGTGATGACGAGGTTGGAGGGCTTGACGTCGCGGTGCACGATGCCTGTGGCGTGCATCTTCTTCAGCGAGATCAGCACCTGCCGCAGCACCTGCTTCACTGTCACGCCCCGCCGTGCCACCGAGTCCAAGCCCTGCAGCACCATCTGCCCCCTGCCAAAGATTGCCTCCTCCACATTGTCTGGAAAGTCCCTCTCCCGTATGTAGTCCAGCAATGTGCGGTCACCCTGCCATCGCATCATGAAAGAGGGCCAATTGCTGTTGGCTGCAGTGAGAAACGCCCACATGCTACCGCGTGCAGACATTGATACCGCCGAAAAAGGCATGATCGTAAGCTTGCAATCATTACTCCTTGGCATGGCCTAATGAGACAAAAATATGGGTGCACTTAGGTAGTTGCGCAGAGATGGGGGAAGAGAATTGGCTGACCTCATAGTTCCAGACGAGCCACTTCCCCCCTTCGGTGAACTGAGCCCGGGTGACGTCAGCAGTGAAAGAGCCCATGAAGCGTGCACATGCCTCGGGCGCAACACGCTGCATGCGGCGGTTGAACCACTCCTCCATCTCCCCGCTCTGCTCCCCGCCCATCACCCGCGTCTTCACCTGCACTCCAGCAGCCAGTCACAGGGCAGGGCGCAAACGCTGTGAGGGAGCTAGAGGTAGACATTGCGTACAAGGAGCCGGAGGGGACGAAGAGACAGGAACACGGAAGGAGCGAGTGCAGGGCACAGGAGGGTGATGCAGGAGGCTCGGGGGGGGGGGTGGGGGGGGGGGCAAGAACGGAACAGGAAGAGCAGGAGACGGAAGGCGGAGGCGAGAGGAAATGCAGGAATGGAAGGAAATCGAGAGATATACACATACATCGAAAGATGAATAGATAGAGGGAAAGAGAGCAAGAGAGGGGGAAGGAGGGGAGGAGAGACGGATGAGTAGGGTGGGGAGCGTAGCGGCGGGCAATGAGGAGGAGCAGGAGTGAGAAGAAGGGGTACCTTTTTGAGGATGACTCGGCTTTTGATGTCCCTCTCATCGAGGTCGTCCAGCTGCCTTGACCTGCGCCCAAATTCCTCCTCCTCACTCGCCTTGCCCTTCTTCTTCAGCGCGCCCTGCACCCTCGCATGGACAGCAAGTGGGAGCGAAGACGAAGCCATGTGCGCATGTCAGCCACGCCACGCATGGCGTACGCACCTCTCAAGGCCTCTGCTCTGCAGTCCTGTGCGCTCTGTCCACCGTGCTTTCAGAGTCTCGTTTCCCAGCGCATTCTTCCACGACATGCCGTCATACCATCATGACATACGACGAGCGTGCCAGCCACATTAAAGCACGTGGAACATTAACCGCTGAAGAGCATTTCAACTGTGTTTCCTACTTTTGCAACACTCATACACAACGCCAGCTCATTTTCACTGTTCCCTTGACATTCTCGCCCAACTCCACTGCTTCTTTACCCCACCACTTCCACCTCCCCACTTACACCACGTCCCATCTCCCTGCCACCCCATTCCCTCCCTCCCCCCGCCCGCCGTACCTCGTACACGGTGCCGAAGTTGCCTTCGCCCAGCCGCCGTCCCACCACGAAGTCCGAGCGTCGGAACTGCCGTCTGCCCCTCACAGTGTCGGTCAGCGCCTGCAGCGGCGCGCCAATGTAAGCGTCCAGGGCGCCGGCCAGCACGCCGGGCCGCGCGGTGAGATACAGGTACAGGGCACCGCCCGCAGCGAGCTGCGCGAGCTTGTCGTCGGCGGGCTGGCGCATGAAGTTCCTGAGGGCGCCGGAGAGCGCAATGAGCGCGTCCCCGGGGCGGAAGGCGGGGAAGGTGAGGTCGAGCTCCCCGCCCAGCAGCTCCAGCGCCTCCTCGCCCGCCTCCACCACGCTCTCCACGCCCCACCGCTCGCCCTCCGCCCCGCCTCCGCCGCCGTCACCCCAGGGCAGCAGCGAGGAGGGCGCACGCAGCAGGCGGAAGAGCGTGGGGAACCTGTCGGACAGATCCTCGCTGTCGCTGCTGGCGGTCCCCGCTGGCGCTGGAGGCGCAGAGGCATCTGATAGCGGGGGGCCGACAGGGAGAGCGGGTGGCGCGAACGCAGGGCTAGCTGGCGCGTCGATGGGAGGAGCGGCCTGGTTTGGCCAGTTAAGGGGCGGCAGTAAATTCTGCAAGGCATTCTGCAGCCCGCTTTCAGGCTCCGCCTGCTTCTCCCCTGCGTCCACCCTCGCATCAGTCAACGCAGGGGCGGGCGCAGCAGCTGGTGCGGGCTCGGCAGGCTGCATGTCAAGCGCGCGCATGCGGAAAGGGTTTCTTGCTCGCGCCATGATGTCGTCCGCTTCCTCCGTCGCCATGTCGCCATCGTCGCTGCCCTCCATGGCGTTCCTCATCGCCATGCGAATCGCCTCCTCCACCGACCGCGGCGGCCCCATCGCATCGCCCAGCACCACCGCCTCCGCCACCGCTGACGCCGCACGCACGTCCGCTGACGCCATGGCCTGCTGCAGCGGCAAAGGCGGCGCGACAGCCGGCAGCGACGCGGTCATGACGGACTCGGCATGGGGCGCCGCCACACCGGACGACAGGGGAGACGGCAGAAAAGCAGCGGGGTCAAGGATTTGGGAAGGAAATGAGAGGAGGGGAAGGGGGACGAGGGCGGAGTCAGGGTGGGATGCATGCAGCGGGGCGACTTGGACAGCGAGCTCGAGCGACGCCGGTAAAGGAGACGTTGACGAAATGTCGGTCACGTCGGCAGCCGCAGCGTGCACGGCGAGGCCGCTCCTGCCACGGCGCGATCCGGAGGATCCGAAAGCCACCTGCGGCTCCCGCTGCCCACATGCCCCAGCTCCCGCAAGCAAGCGCTGCCGGAACCAAGGGAGGCCTCTGCGAAAGCCACTCTGACATTGCGAGAGCAGCGACAGCTGCCCTGCCGTCGAGCGGTGCACCGCGGTACTCCGGGGCATAAAGGAGGCATCAGCGGCACCCGGCAGCCATTGAAGAGACGCCACAGCCATGGCTTGCCAAGGCGCGACCACAATGGACTGCCGAAACGGTCGTGGGCAGCTATGCCCTCAATGCAGTTGGTTCATTTCACCTGGCACCGCATGCCTGGTCCGCCGTGCCCTCCAGCAGCCTGGTCATCATCACCAGTCACACTCAAATGTTGCGGTGGCAGTGGGCGAGCTTCTGGCTGGGAAGGAAGTGCGTGGATTGGAACAGAATGACGGCAAGCGAGAGTGAGCTGATGGATGTGGTGTGCAGGTGCACGGATGGCGAAGCACAACAGATTGGCTCAATCCGGAAAACATCCGACGTCAGCATAGCAGTTGTGGAGGAGGTGCCACATGGCACCCGAACCACTCAAACACAAGGGGGGGGGATGTGTGTGGGGGGGGGGGGGGGGGGGTGTAGGGGGGTTGTGCGAAGTAGCGTGTAAGGTTTCGGCACCTCGCGGGATTCTATTTAACCGTCCAAAACACTTTAGACACCTTACTGTACCTTCTTGTGACCACCTGGGACATCACAAATTGTTTAGCTTCGGACACCCCTTAGGGCGAGCTCATTAGTGTCACGCGGGCATCGATTCAGCATCGATCCTCATATGTACACCCTAGACGGTGGGACAATGGGCCCATTACCATTCTTGCTGCCCATGACCTCTTACTTCCAATCCAAGTTTGGAGGAAAGATATGGCCGGTCAAAGTTTAGCACTGGGCTCAACTTGAAAGATGCCCAACATTGGTTTGCACCAGATAAAATTCGCACATAATACCGTAAACGCCCGGATAGAAGACCCCCATGGAATAGAAAACACTATGTCTTGTATTAGGCGTCTATATTGTATTTGTTAAAATTATATTTTATATCATTGTAGGCTTGGTAGTTATGCTACTAACTGCATCCTACTGTAGAGGGGATAACCCCCTTCTTGTACCTCATTCTCTTCTAGTCGACCCCCTTCTCTCTAGACATTTTCCCTCCTACCTAAACCCACCCGCCATTTCATGGCGGGCTTCTCTACTTCATAGTTTAACTAGCATTCAGACATGGTATCAGAGCAGGCCGCCCGTCCCGGGCCTGCTCACTACGCTTCCGCTGCGTATTCGTTTTTAGTTCGCCGCCGTCGCGGCCTTCTGACTGCCTACCGCCGTGGCACTTT